ACAAGAGGTTATAAAACTGTGACCTTCAATATATCCTGTGTTTCAGCAAGTTTTCTGCACATCATCAAAACTTTCTGCACATTCATAATCTTGTTTTCCGTGACATTTTGAGAAGAGTTGTAATCTTTAAAGTAAAAATCTACTTGCCCTATTCTCTGCTGATATGATAGTGTCCCCTTGACACCATCTGACAGACACCGCCGTTAAACTAAAACGTAAAACGTAAAATGTAACTGAAAACACTCATGGCCTCTCACAACAAATCCACACAAATGTTAACTTCAGCAACCCCGACAAAGTGCAGCTTGCAGTTGCTTCGGGGGAAGCATGCGACATCATGCATTATTCTCTACAGGATAGCAACAAATATATATTGTTAGCCAGTAATGGTTTTAGATTAGATCTGCTGTCATTTAGGTAAAAGACGATGGTGACTGAGGACATTTAGGGTCACTATTTTAAATAAGCATGGTGCTGTCGATATCCACAGTGAATAACCACTTCCTGTCTGTGTCTGCAGAATGCTGAGGATGAGTCGCAATGGGTTGAAGACCTACTGAAGCTCCATACAGCCCGAGTCCGAGATGTCGAGATCCTGACGGGCCTGGACCTCTACCGGTCTACCAACCTCACTTATACCAGCACCCTGAGCCTCAAAACCTACCTGCACACCTTCGAGAGTGACGACTAGACGCGCAGAGAGACAGACGCACACATACAGGATGTAGCCCTTTGTAGAAGTTCTGCATTTTCACTGCATGCTCGCTGGACAACCGGCACATCGCTGTTCCACTCCTGAGGAACTGCCCCGAGAAGTGCCTGGAAAAGGGAACACATTTTTGAAAATTGAAAAGATTAAAAGAATGGTTTGGCAAGTAGTAGTTTGGAAGATTATAAACAGAATATTCAATACTATCCACCAAATCACAGGAATGATGCAGGGTGCGGGACTTTCTCGACAGCTGCCACAACACATTTCATAAATGCAGTGTATACAGTACATCTTCATGCACACATAAAGGACTGTTGTTGTTTTAGCTCCTTAACTATAATTAATGTATACGTTGTATTCCTACTGACCATCCATTGCATGCTGTAGAATTTAAACATTTTTGCCTTTTCTTACTTATAAAAATCAGTTGGTAGACTCTTGAAACTTGCATGACTTATATCAGCTGATCCCAGTCTCTGTTATGTTTTGTCAGAGTTATAATATCATTGTGGGGCAACACAGTGAGGACTTCTCATAGTAAACTTATATAAGTAAACTTTTATATTAAATTTTCATGCTGTAATTTTGAAAATTGTAAGTCTACAGCATGGTTGGCAAAACAGTCAGCAGCAATGTAAAGTATGCAGTTAATGGTCTAAATCAGGGTTTTAAAAGTGTTCAGCGGGCCTCACTAGGGGGGCTCCAAACTGTTTCAGGGGAGGCTCAGTGAATGGAAGAAAAACAATATTACATTACTTACTGCATTAAATCCAAAATGAGATTACATAGAAGAGCCTACATGTGTTAGAGTTCAGAGATACTGTAGTTTTTGGCAACTGTTTTCCCCCCCATCAGCTTCAGAAACTAAAAGATGCCCCAGGAAAGAGCTTTTAAAAAAATATTTGGTGTAGTCAGAAGTTATGTCAAACAGCAATATTAGGCTATTTTGGCTCAAATGTTGAGTGTCTATGGGATCAAATAATATTATCATGGTCCCAAACGCACTGAGGAATTCAACGAAACTAACCAAGTAAACTAAAGATTCGTGGAAGGGGTGCTGTTTCACAAGCTTTGTCTGGGGGGAGGCCTGCAGTCTCAGACCTTGAAAACCCCTGGTCTAAATCAAGCAACATTGCTGGTATGGTTCTATAAAGCTTATGATACACGGGGCAACTTTTAAAGTAATGTTGCTGGGCAGTCTTTACTCATTACTACCATTGATGGCAACATTGCTCAGCACTGTTGCTCTAAAAGTTGCTCCGTGTATCATCAGCTTAAAAGAATAGTTTGACATTTTGGGAAGAACACTTCTCTTTCTTGCTGAGAGTTAGATGAGAAGATTGATACCACTGGCATGTCGGGCTGGCTGGTTAGCTTAGCTTAGCTTAGCATAAAGACTGTAAACAGGGTGAAACAGCTAGCTTGGCCCTCTGTCGAGCCTGCCAGCACCACTAAAGCTCACTAACTAAGATCATCTCATTTCATATATATCTCATTTGTTTACCCATTTCCCAAAATGCCGAACTAGTTCTTAAGGTCATAAACTGTTCAGGGGCCTTCACAAATTCCCAAAGTATGTGGCATTAAACAAAATAGAGAACAACCTGAACTTTGCTTTTCCACTTGGTTTACCTCCTGGATATACTTCTCATGATTACTAAGAATGGTTTCCACACAAATATATGACTATAGCCCTTTCTGAGTAATTGGATAAAATGTCTGTATGTCAGACAGAGAGGAAAATACTGTCAAACACAAACCACTGTGCCAGCAAATAAACATCAGTGAACAATATCGTTAAAGGAAAGCAACAACAAGTGGTGGCCTGGAACAGCTAAACTTAATGTTCTTACTGCTTGCTGTTAGCGTCTTTGCTAACGTTTCATTTAAATTTCATTAAATTTCCCCTGAAAAGGACAGAAGTGACAAAAACAACAAGAAGAAATAGGAGGTAATTTCTAACCCCGGTGCACATGTGAACACATCCACGCCCAGAAAAAATAACAAACACCAACTGCAACAATTTTCTCTCTGTTTTCTCATCCTCCCACCTCTCATCTCTCTTTCTCTCTCTCTGTCTCAGCTGATCATCTCGGTGTATATTTTTATACAATTTGTCATATTTATTACGCAGCATCATAATAACAACAGCACCTAGTGTTAGAATATTAATCCAGTGCAGAAGATTTGTCCCCATTTATTTTAATAAGATACAAGTAAACCTCTGATGCAGTGCTTTCCCCCCCAAAGATGTAAAGAGACTGACACTGATTTGTATTTTCATACCTTTAGTATGATAACATTTTACTTAACAGTCAGTAAGGCTGGTTTGAAACGTCCAGTTTTATTTTAGTCACATCACCTCAACCAAAATGGACATTCAAATTAATATTAGTTAACATTCATCTTTATAAAGACTAAAGGCTAAAACTACAAATATAAGAACCAGGCTGTAAAACAGATTTTTCCTTTAATTCAGTATCAATAACCCAGCAACACTGGTCTCATTTTCAGTTTTGTTACCTCATCTTCTGCATTCACACTTTTAACTCCACACAGATAAAAGCAGTCAGAAGCTGTATTTTTTCATGTTTGGTATTTACTTTCATAACGTTACACTGATGAGTTACAGTAATATAGCTAGCTACCAATGTAATCAGTACAGAGAAAATAATCAATACAAAGTCAATAAAATGCCTTTAAAGCTTGCCAAACTGTAGATGAAGACATGTATATTCCTGTAATCTTTCAAATAAAAGTTGTAGAGAATTGGAAAACTAAATGACTGGAATAGACTTCTTCTATTTAGTTGAACTGCTTCTGCAACCAAATTAAAGCCGGAGTGAGATTTGAATGGCTGCTTGAGGCCAATTTACTGCAAATTTGTTTTTCTGTCAACAGCAACCATATAGTTGCTGTGGTTTCCCAACCTCAACTCTGTGTTGAAAACAAATGGCTCATGTTTGGCTGGGAATAACATGTGTTTTGAGGGAGCAGCGTTTACCCAGTCAGCAACCAATTACTAATGAGTGGGTTTCTTGTTCTGACATGCGTAGACACAAGCCCATTGATGTGGTTCTAGCAGAAGGAGTGATTGTTTTTAGCATGAGTAGCTGAGTTGTAATTGAGATACTATGTGTTCAGTAGTTTCCAAGCTTTATATTTTAGAAGAGTGTTGTTTGAATAGACTCTCAGTTCCTTACTGTAATCAAACGTTTAGTCATCCATAAGCAGACTAGAATGTCACTATGTCACTAACACTAATGACTAAATCAGTACGCAAATACTGTGTTGCATTGGACAGATTTAACAAGCTTACTTTGGCATGAGTAAAATCTGTCAGACCACCTTTTATTCCTGTGAAAAGCAGCATTTACAGGACTTTCATAATAAATCACAACTTTACATGATCAAACAATGCTCTGTATTTAATTTTTATCTTAACATAACTTGATGCAGCATTAGCAGATCCAAAAAGAGTAATAATATTACTAAGTCACTGTTAATTTTGCGTCTGTATGGTTACAGAATTGAAAAGGCAATGGTTTTGACAAGTTACATGTCACAAAACATCAAAGTTAGTGGTTTATTACTTAGATGAGGTGACAAAAGACAGTCCAGGCAA